CCAGTTCCAGGCTGTTTGGATGGAGGGGACTGGAGCAGGTTTCACACAGGATTTCAAGGACGCCTTTGGGTCTATGGTCCTTGGGGAGGTGGGGCTGGGGGAGGGGGTAGAGGGGGGGTTGGGGTTGGGGTGGGTGGGGGTGGGGGCCAGAGGGCAGAAGTCTGACTCCACGTGACAGAACCTGTTATGTATTTAGACATTGGGACTCTGGGGAAGTGGCATTGCTACATTTGACGGTAAAATAGTTTGAAAACTTGTTTTATAAGTTCTCTAGAAAGGATTCTATTTTGCTTTCTACCTCATTCACCAAGTCCAGTGTTCACTCGTCCATCAGCAACTTCCTCCGCAAGGTGCCGCCTCTACCTGGAGTCTCTCCCCTTTCAAAGTGCTGAGCCATTTCCTGTAGTTCTAGTTCCATGAGAGATGAGGATGCTGGCGAGGCTGAGCAACAGCCTGCTCCTGATTTCAACTCTCTCCCTCCTTCGTCCCTAGAGAAACAAGCTGTGAAGTTCAGCGATTCTGCCTGTTGCTGGAATCATTCTTAGGTCTTCCCAGAATCAACCACTTCTTTCCCTTCAAGCGTATCCCTGGGAGACAGTGGCAAAGCAACCGGGAATCCTCTCTCTGCCCCAAGCGCCTCTAGCCAGGCCCTTCAGGGCCGGAAGGAGCTGGGGAGGGGCAGAAAAGAGGACTGGGAAGCGGGACCAATCTTCCTCCTGTCCTAGGGACTGGAGGCTCCGCCTGGGGCGGCTCTGGCTCTTAGAAATAGGACAGGACCCACTGCAGGGAGAAACTCCTCTGCATGCAGTGCAGGGACAGTGGGGCCGCGCAGCCTCTGTCCTGGCCCTCGGTGCTCCCTTGATGCCACCGCTTCTCCGGTGACCAGAAGGCTGAGTGATCTCCCTCCCAGGACCTGCTCTTGGAATCATCACGCCATGAACGGCCTGCAGGCCTTGCTGCCCCACCACCACCCCCAGGGTCTGCTCTTCCAGGGCCAGGAGCTGCTCTGTAGACCGAGCCCCTCACCTTCCTGCTCCTGGCCCAGTCCAGGGACCTGCCCGGCCTCATCCCCTCAGGCATCCTGAATGATGATTCTCAGCCAGCCCAGGCCTCACCCGGGCTTCCGCCCCACTGCAGCCCCCAACGGCTCAGTCCCGGGCCCAGGACCTTGGACCTGGAGTGTAATTTCCATCTTCTTGCTGGGCTCCAAGTGACAGCTCACCTCCAGCTGTTGTGATCCTCCCACGTGAGCTCGCCCAAGGACAGCTCCTCACTTTCTCTCTTCTGTTCTCGCCTTTTCTCTTCTTCCTTCCTCTCCCCTTCCTCCCATCCTATTTTCCTCGAGGTCCCATACAGACCTTCCCCTGAGCCCACTCCAGAATGGCTTCCTCCTGGGCCTCATTGGCTGTTTTATCTCAGCTTCGCACACCCCTGACCTTCTGGGAATCGTAGCCCAGAAGTGGCACACACTCCTCATCAGCTCCCCAGCTGCCTGTGCTGCCCGGGGCTGGCAGGACAGCGACCTTCTTTGTCTGGCCTGTTCCTTCCAGAGCAGCCTTTGCTCTCCGTTCCAATCATGCATGGCTTTTAATGTTTTATGAGGTTGAACTGCCTTACCCTGAACCCCCTCAGCTCCAGGGAAAAGAAATGGAGTTCTCACCAAGGAGCTCATTTCTTTGAGTGCTGCTAACACCCCCTGGCCCTGACCGCTGCTCTCTGCCTGGCTGCCCTCCCCCTCCTGCTCACCTCTCCTGCTCCCACCTCCACAGATGGAGTGTCAGCAGGCGTGGCCAGGCCCTCTCTTCCTGGCTCATTAGAGTAGCTGGTGGCTTCCCCAGCGCCCTCCCACCAGTGCCCCTCCCGGAGCCCCTCAGCCTTGCCTCCTGCACACACAGCTCCAGGAGCTAGGCCGGAGCCCCTGCACTTTGGGAAAAAGGGTACAAGGAGGAGAAGGGGCACTGCCGAACACTTGCTGTGTGAGGCAGTGAGGGCTCCACCCCTCACTCACAGCATCTCATTTCATGCTCCCGAAGCTCCAAGAGGCACCTCTTGTCACCTCCATTGGAATGAGTTGGGCGGGTGAAGCAGTTTGCCCCAAGCCACACCACCTGGATGCAACCAAATCTTTAGACTTTAAAACCCATTTGTCCTTCACTTTCCTGAGCCCATGGATTTGAGGGTATTTCTAAGGGTATCATCTCCCAGAGGTGAGTGTGCTGCTAACGGAACCCTGGTGGCTGGATGTCCATGCACAGTGGCCTCGGCTAGAGACCCCAAATGTGTCATCCAGGCCCCGTCCCCGCACCTGCCTGGCCTGTGCTTCCATCTTGCTCCTCTGTGACCTTTATCCTTCCAGGGTTCATTCATTTTACACAAATCATATGGGATGCAAAATACAAGCTGGGATACAGCGTTCTTTAGGACACAGCTTCACTCTTCTGAGTCCTGGCTCCTGACTCGCAGGACTCTCCCAGGTCTGCACTTTCAGTCTCTGCTGGAAATAGTGGCTGCCCTGTCAGTTCAGGGGTTAATCTTCGTTGAATTCAGACATTTCTCTCCCAATCTCTGCTAGTCCTTCCTCTCCCCTCATCCGGTTTCATGGAGATCTGGCCTCCGGCCGACTTTCCTCAGAAGCTTAAAATGATAAGGTCATCGACTCCTATGAAGACCATCTCAGCACATGACAGACTGGGCTAGCCTGTGAACGCACCACCAGAAGTCCTTCCTGCTGTTTACCCTCAGTCCTACTTGTTTTAACACCACTCTAGAGCCATGCTTGCTGTGATTTGTGTCCCGTAGGCCACTGGTCCTCAGAGAGGAATGTTGAAGTTCCAGCCCCACCTCCCGCAGGGGCACAGAGCAGCCTGCAGCTCTCCTGGCTGGTACCAGGGGTGAGGGAGACAGAATAAAATCAAGATGGATGGCAGCTTATTATGTTTTAACTGTCCAATGACCTACCCAGTAGCCTGAGCTGCCAATAAAGTAGCCATCCCAGGCTGTACAATCGCTTCCCAGGAGAAGAGAGGCGGAGTCAGGGCAGTGCCTCTTGGGAATGTCAGGAACAGAGTCAGAAGGGAGCTGACTGCCCCTTGCAGCCACAGCAGGCGTTTATGCACCTGGCTCCACTCGCAGGCTCTCCACGTGGCTTCCTAGCCGGCGACGCCTCTCTCCACGTGCATGTTCCAAGGTGTGGGAGCGGGCTGGTGCTCCTGCTGGGCCAGTGGCCTCGTCTCTTGGTCCCCAGAGCAGTGTTTTTCTTTCCCTGCCATCTCTGCTCTGATTTATTCAGGACAGCTCAAGGATTATGAGGATTATGCCTCCAAGAGCCACTTGTCGAGCTGCTCAGCAGTGGGCCGTTTCTTCCAGAATCAGTCCCAAGGTGTACAGGGCACCCACACAGTCCTGGAGGGCCTCCCCTGGCCCGCCTGGCCTGCAGCGCTGTCTAGGATGCCATCCCGTGGGTGCCCTGAGGCTGCCGGCTCTGTTTCCCGCTGGTGGGAGGCAAAAGGCCTGACATAAAAAATCCTCCTCCACAGCCTCTAGCTGCTTTCTCCCTCTTTCTGGACCCCTCCCCCACCTGCTGCTCATTTTTGCTCCTCCTCTCAGGTCCCTCATTTCAAAGTGGCCCCAGAGGAATTTATCAAGTTCCAGCTCCAGAGATTCACCACCTTGAACCTGCACCCCAGCAACACCGACATCAGCGTGGCTGTGGCTGGGGTCCTGAACTTCTTCAACTGCACCACGGCCTGCCTCGTCTGTGCCAAAGCAGAATGTAAGCCCCGCCGGCCGGCTCCCGGCAGCCCCAGTCTGGCTGGCTGATTCAACCTGGTTGCTGCCCTGGCTGGGGACACACAGGAAGGGGGCGCTCCCTTAGGTCCCAGGGCTGATAACCAGAGGGCTTGGCATTCCCGTGCTTACCTGTGAGCACGCCTTCTTGGCTGACTTTCCCCAGAAGCGTAAAATGATAAAGCAGCCGACCACCGGAGACACCCCAGGGCCCCTCAGACTTGGGGTCAGCCCGACACAGAGCTTCTGCTTGGCTGTGTGTCCCTGTGTGCACACACGTGTGTGTGCGTGTGAGAGCGGGAGCAGTCTGTCTGACAGAACCCCCCGGGCACGGGCAGAACAGAGGGGACTGGGTTACAAGGAGAATGGCCAACCTCCAAGCCTTAGTGCGTCTGCAAACCCAATTCCCACCTCTTCAGCCTCGCTGCTGAGGAGAGGCAGGGACACAAAGGCGGATGCCTTTGTACTTGATGGGCTGAAGAGCTTCTTGCCTGGAGAGCAGGCTTTGCTGATAGAAGAAGGTCCAAGGTCACTTTCTGATAAAGCACTTGTTTTCTGCAAATGCTTGTTTTGGAAATGCTTTTCTCTGACTCTCAGACAATTATGACATAAACTTGGTGACTATGAGATGTAGCTCATTTGAGCAGCACTTCCCAGAAAACCCTGGCATCTGTGCACCTAGTGGCAGCCGCGCCCACATGCCGTGGGCAAGTGCTGACCACGTGCTGTCAGCGGGGCCCAGCACCCACGCCCCAGGCATCTGTCTGGGCAGCTCGCCGGCACATTCCTACCCTGTGGGCCTGGGTGGCTGCACGGGCAGGGCTCTGCCATGCCCACCAGGGCTCCTCTCAGTAGCTGCTCAGAACTGCTCGGCACACTGACGTCCTCCCTCCTCCCTGGAATCCTGAAGGCATCTGCAGACATCACCCTCCCTGTCAGGAGCCACCATCCTCACCCGCCCTGGCAATGGTGGCCTCCACATGCGCATTCTCTCACCACTCAGCAGACATGACTTTCTCTGTACTGCAAGAGAAGCAAGAGCAGCTGAGTCCCACTGTGTGAGCCATCCCCCCCTCCCGCCCCCATCCACACTCTACTCCGATTCCACCCATGTCCCCTGCAGTCAGTGTTCTTCAGTTCAGGGTCCAGTCCAGATCACTGGCTGCATTTCAGTTGTCATGTCTCTTCAGCCTTCCTTCAACTAGATCTGTCTTAGTCTCTCAACTTCAACGTTTTGAAGAGCAGGGGCCGGTTATTTTGTAGAATGTTCTACTTTCTGCTTTGCAATAACTACCTGTGGGAGATGATTGGAAGGCACGTGAATATCCTGCTCCTTAGAGCACATGGAGGCCTGTGCCTGCATCACATCACTACATGATTGCCAGATAGTGGGCTCAGCGACAGCATTCTTTCTGCATTTGTTGGTGAGCAGTTTGCGGTGAGGCTCTTGTCTTCTTACTTATTTACTTCTGTCAGTATGGATCCATGGATTCCGATTTTATTCAATGGCTATAATCCGTTACTATGATGACTTATTTTGATGCTCAGATTGTCCCAGATGTGGCAGTGGGAGCTCCTGCAAGCTGGCTTCTGTGCCTGTTGGCTTTGAGCACCTTCTTACCTCTGGCACACGGTGGTCCAGGTCCACGCCCCAGCCCAGCCCGGGACTCAGCCATTGGCTAAGGACCCCTGTTTTATTGTCTTGTTTTGTTTGTTTTCTGTGTTTTTTAAGGAATAATAGAACCCTAGGTCTGAAAGCTAGGTGTGCTCATTGCCACCGAGGTGTCATCTCTTACGTCCTTTCAGTGGATAAACGGGAAAATATCCCTTTCCTCTCATTCTTGCCTTTCACCACTTTATATTTGTAGTTCCTTTGCCTCATCATGAGAGGCCTGGCTCCGAGCAAAATCAATGCATTTACTCCTTTGTTTAATTCTACAGCCCATAAACTTGCTTCAGAATTACTACACCCATACCACTGCTAATAATAAACCTTCTAACCTATGAAGTCATGTAAGTTTTTTGCAGTTATTTTGGCCCTTTTATCTTCAGAATGAGGGGAGTAAAAGTACTCTAGCTAAAAGTTACTTGGGTTCTTTCTTTTTTACTTTTCTTTAATATAGTTATCTATTTGGTATATTGTTAAGTTTATTTGTCTGTGTTTATTTTCAACTTTGAAGTAAAAAAAATCCTTGTTGATTTAACTTCTGGCATTTTAATTATGTGTTTTGGTGTGGCCCTCTTTGGGTTCATCTTGTTTGGGACTCTCCATGCTTTCTGGACTTGTGTGTCTTTTGCTTCACCATATTGGGGAAGTTTTCAGCCATTAACTTTTGGAAAAGGTTTTCTGTCTCTCTCTCTTCTTCTGGGACCACTATGATTCAAATGTTGGTATACTTGATGTTGTCCCAGAGGTCCCTTAAACTGCACTTATTTTTTTAAATTTCTTTTTCTTTTTGCTGTTCCAGTTGGATGTGTTCTGCTCCTTCGTTGTCCCAATCACTGATTAGATCCTCTGCTTCCTCTAACCTGCTATTGATTCCATCCAATGTATTCTTCATTTCAGTTATTACATTCTTTATTTCAGATTGGTTGTTTTTTATGTTTTCTGCCTCCTTTTTTATGTTTCCTATTTCTTTTTTTTATTGCTTAAAGTATTACAAAGAGTATTACATATGTCTCCTTTTTTCCCCCACCCTTGACAATCCCCTGGCCTCCCCTACCCCCAGTGTCTTATGTCCATTGGTTATGCTTATATGCATGCATACAAGTCCTTCGGTTGATCTCTTACCCCCCCTACTGCCCCCCAACCCTTCCCAGTCTTCCTGCTGTAGTTTGACAGTCTGTTCGAGGCAGCTCTGCCTCTGTATCTATTTTTGTTCATAAGTTTATAATGGTCTTTATTATCCATAAATGAGTGAGATCATGTGGTATTTTTCTTTCATTGACTGGCGTATTTCACTTAGCATAATGCTCTCCAGTTCCATCCATGCTGTTGCAAATGGTATGAGTTCCTTCTTTTTTACAGCAGCATAGTATTCCATCGTGTAGATGTACCACAGTTTTCTAATCCATTCATCTACTGATGGGCACTTAGGCTGTTTCCAGATCTTAGCTATGGTGAATTGTGCTGCTATGAACATAGGGGTGCATATATCCTTTCTGATTGGTGTTTCTGGTTTCTTGGGATATATTCCTAGAAGTGGGATCACAGGGTCAAATGGGAGTTCCATTTTTTACAGCAGCATAGTATTCCATCGTGTAGATGTACCACAGTTTTCTAATCCATTCATCTACTGATGGGCACTTAGGCTGTTTCCAGATCTTAGCTATGGTGAATTGTGCTGCTATGAACATAGGGGTGCATATATCCTTTCTGATTGGTGTTTCTGGTTTCTTGGGATATATTCCTAGAAGTGGGATCACAGGGTCAAATGGGAGTTCCATTTTTAGTTTTTTAAGGAAACTCCATACTGTCTTCCAGAGTGGCTGCACCAGTCTGCATTCCCACCAGCAGTGCACGAGTGTTCCTTTTTCTCCACATCCTCTCCAGCACTTGTCGTTTGTTGATTTGTTGATGATAGCCATTCTGACAGGTGTGAGATGGTACCTCATTGTTGTTTTGATTTGCATCTCTCGGATGATTAGTGACTTTGACCCTGTTTTCATATGTCTCTTGGCTTTCTGAATGTCCTCTTTTGCAAGGTGTCTATTTAGGTCCTTTGCTCATTTTTTGATTGGATTGTTTATCTTCCTTTTGTTAAGTTGTATGAGTTCCCTATAAATTTTGGAGCTTAGGCCCTTATCAGATATGACATTGGCAAATATGTTTTCCCACGAAGTGGGCTTTCTTGTTGTTTTGTTGATGGTTTCTTTTGCTGTGCAGAAGCTTTTTATTTTGATGTAGTCCCATTTGTTTATTTTCTCTTTAGTTTCCAATGCCCTAGGAGCTGTATCGGTGAAGAAATTGCTTCGGCATATGTCTGAGATTTTGTTGCCTTTGGATTCCTCTAGTATTTTTATGGTTTCCCGTCGTATATTTAAGTCCTTTATCCATTTTGAGTTTATTTTTGTGAATGGTGTAAGTTGGTGGTCTAGTTTCATTTTCTTGCATGTATCTGTCCAATTTCCCCAACACCATTTATTGAAGAGACTGGCTTGACTCCATTGTATGTTCTTGCCTCCTTTGTCAAATATTAATTGAGCATATTGGTTCGGGTCGATTTCTGGGCTCTCTATTCTATTCCATTGATCTATATGTCTGTTCTTGTGCCAGTACCAGGCAGTTTTGAGAACAGTGGCTTTGTAATACAGCTTGATATCTGGTATTGAGATCCCACCTACTTTGTTCTTTCTCAGGATCGCTGCAGCTATTCGGGGTCTTTTTTTATTCCAGATGAATTTTTGGAGAGTTTGTTTTAGGTCTGTGAAATATGCCATTGGTATTTTAATGGGAAGTGCGTTGAATTTATAGATTGCTTTTGGTAGTATGGACATTTTAATGATGTTAATTCTACCAATCCAAGAACATGGTATGTTCTTCCATCTGTTTATGTCTTCCTCTATCTCTTTTTTCAACGTCCTGTAGTTTTCTGAGTAGAGGTCTTTTACCTCTTTAGTTAAGTTTATTCCTAGGTAGCTTAAATTTTTTGGTGCGATGGTAAATGGGATTGCTTTTTTAGTCTCTCTTTCTGTAAGTTCACTATTGGTGTATAGAAATGCCATAGATTTCTTGGCGTTAATTTTGTATCCTGCTACATTGCTGAATTCATTTATTAAGTCTAGTAGTTTTTTGATGGAGTCTTTAGGGTTTTTTATGTATACTATCATGTCATCTGCAAATAAGGACAGTTTTACTTCTTCTTTTCCAATTTGAATGCCTTTTATTTCTTCTTCTTGTCTAATTGCAATGGCTAATACTTCCAGTACTATATCGAACAGGAGTGGTGAGAGTGGGCATCCCTGTCTTGTTCCTGTTCTTAGGGG